TCCAGACTGGCTCTGAGCTATGAGGTTCTGGGGTCTGTAGAAAAGAGAAAACCACTATGCATAAACTGAGTACAAGAGCCTGGGCAAAAACTAAATATAGACACTAAAAGTAACCAAGTTGGAATACCACTACCCTGGAAACTCACGGATATGCCAGCATCATAGGGAGAGCCATCTCTTGGATTTTGGATGGCCTATTAAATCCCATTGCATATATCCCCTTTAGAAACTCTCCTTTTCTGTCAAAAAAAAAAAAAAAATCAAACACTTACAGTCTCATAAATACAAACTTGAAAGGTGCAGTTCTAAATTAAACCACTTTGCAACTGAGCTTCAAAAGTAATACTTAGAAATATAATAATTTATATCTCAACTCCTGAACACATACAGTCATGCCTGTATAGTGGACTACTAAAATAATGAGCTATGCTATACGCCTGGGCTAAGGACAACAATAAGGGCCTAACATTGAACTTTCTGTTGGACTAAGCAAAAAAGGAAAAATTCATCTGATAGAAGTATATCACTATACCAGGAAGAGTTTTATTTTCTACATAAGCAGAAAATTAAGTGAGATTTATTATTTCATTCTTTTTAACAAATAATAAACATTGTTGTTTTCACAGATATTTTCAGAGAAGAAAGAATTTTTTTTCGATTATTCTTTTATCAAGTCTCTCTAGGAGCAGAAGACACACTGTTACCACGTCCTTCCTTTTAAATGCTTCCTTCCTGGCGTCTCATGATAGATATTAGAAAGAGGATAAAGTGAAGTGGGCTGGAACACTTCTATCTTCAATGGCATGCATATTTTAGATGTGCTTAATTGGCAGATTAATTAGTAGATAACTGGAAGCCAACTTTAGATATTAGAAAGAGGATAAAGTGAAGTGGGCATACCTTCAATGGCATGCATATTTTAGATGTGCTTAATTGGCAGATTAATTAGTAGATAACTGGAAGCCAACTTTTAATCATAGGTAGACTTCTTCCATTTAGAAAGTGTCTGGGCATTGGGATTTTTTATTTTTTTTCCCCTTTACATAAATTTGTATCAATAAAATATATTTCCTTAACATTGGCTGATAAATCCCTAGGAGATGCAAACACATTTGGTAAAATTATTCATTTTAATGCCATTTGAAATAAAATATAATTATGAAGGTAAAAGCTTGTAACTTATCTAAAGGTGGTGGGGAAGGGTATTTGGGTCATCAATGTCCCCGTATCTATATTCTGGGATGGAGAGTAGCAATATGCCTGTGTCAGGTTTAGCTATTCCCCTTACACACCAAGATTAAGATATTTTATCATCGAAACTGTTCTCAATTTACTGGACAATGCAGGTATCCTACTGTTCCTCTTTGGGCTATATTTTAATTGCATGCAAAATGTACATATTACATTTTAATATTGACTATTAGAATACAAAGGAGATCTCGATGGTTTTTATTATTAGCAGATTAGTTTGTTCTGTGCTATGCTTTCCAGCATTTTCCTTCATTAAAAGAGTAAGAATACTCACAGCCGCAGCTCTTCAAATGTTTTCACTGAGTAGAGTGGAGAGCTGGGATCCTTTTGTAAGACTTCAACTCGATGACTGGATTCTACTAAGGACTGCCGTATTAACTTGTTTAACAGTGAATTAGCTGCCAAATCCACTAGAATAGCAAAATGAAAAAGGAGATATTGCAGGGGGAAAATCAAGCTCCCTGAAGGACACCTAATCTGCCTCCCATTCAGTAGATGTATATCAAACAACTGCTCCTATTTTCATCTTTCTTCTAAAGAAGGTTCCAGAAAGAATGGCATAGCACTGAGAATTCCATTTTTTTCCTTATGAGGATCCAATTTCTTATGCCTGCTGCTACACCAACCCTTAACTTCAAGCAAGCCTGCATCCATCAACACCAGAGCAAACTTTTCCTTGCCAGCTGAAAATTCTTAAACTATTCCTGCATATTCCATTTCAACTTCCTCTAAAGAAATATGCCCCACTCCTAATTTAGTATTTCCTCTGATATTCACTGTTTATAAAGAAAATAGAAGCAAAGACGCTGCTTCTCCAATTGAGATTGTATTATTCACTCACACTGTGAAGGTCAGGATTAAGTGAAACAGGATGCTGGTAGATACATGCAAATGAATTTATCTCCTACCTACATCTTCTTCATCTTCTTTGGTGTTATCAATAGAATCATCTAAAAGGGTGGAAAAGAAACAATAAATGTAAAGAAAAACGCCATGCAGAAATGTAAAGTGTAATTATCCCAGTTTCTCTTGCCAGCTCTTCCCGGTGCACTGACAGGAAGGGTCATCCAGTGGGGTAAAAGACTGGGAAGGTAGTGGACCGTCCCGAATGTAAAATTAAGGGAGCCAAATGTATTTCAGTTGGCAAGGACATGAGGGAGGCAATGGTCTTTAATTAAATGAAGCTGATCTGCTTTACCCTAACAACACTCACCTAGGTTTGGGACCGTAGTACTCTTAATAACCCGAAGGTTCTTCCGGGGGTGGGTGAGGTTTGAAAACTATTGAAAGACACAAATTTCAACCAATATTAGGAAGCAAGCCTTCAAGAAGCCCAGTGCTACCTCTAAGAAGGGCTGGAAGGGATGCAAGGAAGACCAGTTGAACACTGTTTCCTTGCAATGTTAAGTATGAACGGGTTCCTTTCAGGACCAAATCTCCTGTATGAATTATCCTAAAACTGGAGACTTTCTGCTGCCCCTATAGGCGCAATTCCGCTTTATAGGCCCTTAGTCTAAATGTAGCAGCCCTTGGGAGTCACAAACGATCAGGGATGCAGGGATGTTGGGTAGAAAAGCGCGCTGGTAGATAGATGGAAGGAAAGTAGCTGAGGATTAATGGTCATACTGGGAGACTAGGAAACTCAGGGCCTGGTTGGAACTACCAGCCGCTTTCCCTCACAGGGACTTCCAGGTGTCTTCATTTTGCCCTGTCAAACCAAAGGTCTCGGCTCTCTCGGGGTCTCCTTTTCCAGGGCCCTTTTCCAAGTCCTTGCCATGCTACATCTCCCCTCCACCACTGGACACCCCACTCCCCACCCCCAGCAGACTTCCCCTGGGAATGCTGTCCTAGCCCCCGTCCCTCTGCCTTCCCGGTGGGTGACGGTTACGTGGCTGTTCAGCCGCTCGCTCTCTGCCGCCCCCGGGTCGCCTTCCCAAAGTAACGACGCCATGGCTGCGATCGCCGCTCCGGCCCCAGCACGTGCGTCCACCACGGCGAGGCAGGCCCGGCCCCACCCAGCGGCCAATGGGCTTCCTCAGGGGGCAGGCTCACGTGCTGCGCCCACCGCGGCAGAGCGCAGGCGCCGGGCTCCGGGGAGAAGAGGGGGGAGGGGGAGGGGAGAAGAGGAGGAAAGGGGAGAGTGCTGGGAGGAAAGCGGGTGTCGGAGGGGAGGAGGAAGCTCTGCGGGAAGAGGAGGGCTGCGGGAGAGCTTTGTGCATCAGCTGGGTTGCTCTTTAGGGCCAGCCGTCCCCCAACCCCTCCCAGATGTTGGAAGACGCTGTCGCAGTGGACTTTCGCCTGAAGCTGGCCTCTGCTAAGCCAGGAGCGTCTTGAGACTCTGAGGGGCAACAATCTTCGCACTGATTCAAGTCTTCCTCCCTTACCCTTCCACCCTCTCCCCAGGTAATTCTCCGGGTGGTTAGGCTGGAACCCAGCGCCAGTTCAAGTTATCGAGCCTTCGTTTTCCCTGAAATTTCCGCTTCTACGTGGTAAGAAGTCAGAAAGGCTGCGGATTGCTAGGGAAGTGGAGGGTCAGAATGAGTACGTTTCATCTAACTAATGAATTAGAAGGCGAAAGATACGAAGCGGAAGTTAAGTAGGTCAGGTTAACTTCCGTCCGTGGTCCTAAATGCCGGTGATGCCTCCACAGACCGGCTTGTATTCATTTTAATTCTGATGTGTGCCCTTGCTAAAGCAATCCCGAGAAAACTGTTCTTTGTGGTACGACCTCCACCTCCTTCCTGCACTACAGAACCTGGGAGAGAGTCCTTCTAGTACTGGCTGCTGAACTTCGACCAAAGAACCAGAATTTTTCCAGTTTTCTAACTGGAATCTGATATTTGGTTTTTGTCTCTGGAAAACCCTACAAAAACCTAGTTATGCTCTCTCCGTGGTGCTGAAG